TGCTGCTGCTGTTGCTGCTGCGGCAGGGCGTAGCGGTCAAGGTACAGCTGCAGCTGGCGGGACGTCAGTTCCTTGTTGAGGCGAGCATTCACTGCAGCAACAAGAGCAGCAGCTACGACGAGAGAGCAGCCGTGAGGGTACCAGCAGCAAAAAGAGCAGCAGCAGCAAGAAACGCAGCAGCAGGAAGAGCAACAGCTGCAGGAAGTGCAGCAGCAGGACGGAGAGCAGCAGCAAAAATCTCACTTTCTTTTGACGCCTCCAGCTCCGCCTGCAGTTTCTGTACCTGGGCTGCGAGGCTCTGGCACTCCGCATGCAGCGCTTGTTGCTGCTGCTGTTGTTGCTGCTGCTGCTGCTTCAGCTTGTGTTGCTGTTGCTCCTCTTGCTGCTGCACCTCTTCTAGCACCTTCAGCTTTGCCTGCAACTCCTCTTTGGCCTAAAGGAGCCGCAGCAACAGCAACTTCAGTTGCAGCAAAATGCAGGCGCAGCAGCAGCAGCACCTATACGACCGAGCGCAGCTACAGCAGCAGCGGCGACAGCGACAGCAACAGTGGGAACTGACCGCAGTTGCTGCTGCAGCTTCTGCAGCACACTGTTTTGCCTTGGCCTTGCTGCTGCGCACGGACTGCTGCAGCTTCGCCACCACTGCATTTCCCTACATCAGAAAGACACACAGGTAGACGCTGCTGCTGCTGCTGCTGCTGCTGGTGCTGCTTTTGTTGTTACTGTTAATACTGTGCATATTCTTGTTGCTGGCGTTATCTTGGCTGTTCTGCTGCTCTTTTGCCGCTGCTGCTGCTGCTGCTGCTGGCATAGGACAAGCAGCAGCAAGCAGGAAGCAAAAGCGAACAAGAGGAGCGCAAACAGCTGCAGCAGCGGCCGCAAAAACTGTCGGCAGTTGCTGCTGCAACACAGCTTCCAATGCATGCGAACTCGGAGGCAGAAGCGACAGCAGGGAACACAGACACACACAGCTGCCAGCCTGGGGGCCCCCATGGGGCACTGGGGGTCCCCGCGCGGTGCCTAGAGGGGCCCCCAGGGCCCCTCGGCCACTAGGGGGCCCCCAAAGACAAACAAAGAAATAAACAAGGCGGGAGAGACCTCACTTTCTCGAGCTCGCGAACGAGGTGGTCAACTTCAACAGAGCGGCTGGCATGTTCCGTTTTAAGCTGCTGCAGCTGCTGCTGCAGCTGCTGCTGCTGGCTGCTGCTCGCCTGGAGCTGCTGCTGGGCCTGCTGTGCTGCTGCAGTGATCTCCTCCAGCTGCTGCTGCAGCCGCCTGTTCTCCTGCTGCAGCCGCTGCACTTCTTCGATA